ACTACAAAACCTGTTTTCATGTGGCTATAGCACTGTTTTTCTTATATCAGACATGAATTCTTCCGATTAAAATCGGAATTCCGATTTTTTTGGGAATCGCGCCCCCCTTTCCACCCCCCTTCTTCTCCTCCTTCCCCTCCCCTCGGAGGCCCCGAGTCAGGAGATGCTACCGCTGGCGCGGCTCTGCGTGGCTCCAGTCCCGCGTTGCCTCAGGAAGGGAAAGGCAAAAAGGAAGAGCCGCGGCGGCGCTTTGCAACGGCAGCAGCGGCTCCTGGTTTTGCCTTTCCCTTCCCGAGGCAATGCGAGACTGGAGCCGCACGGAGCCGCGCCGGCGGTAGCAACTCCTGACAGCCCCAGCCGGATACCTGAGCGGAGCCCGGGCGGGTGGGCGGTGCGAGCGGAGGCCGCTGAGCGGCAGGAAAAGGGAGCTGGGCAGCGGGGAGGGGGGTCTCTTTTGGCCGGCCCCAATTTTTTTTTCAGAGGGGAATATGCCTGTATATGAGAAGCAAAAATTAAACAATTTTTTTTTTTTTCGGGGGAGATTAGCATGATGGGTGAACCCAGCCAATATGTTATGCATGAAGATATGTCTGAGATCAAGACAGCTATCAAAGAAATGAATGAAAAGGCTTTGGGGGGGGGGGAACCCTTCAATCATGCATTTCTGCTTGCTTATCTCCTTTTATTTAACTTAAGTGCTAACAAAGTTTAGGCTACAAGATTAAATACCAGTCTAGGTTTTTTTGATACTCTTGCTCAAATTTTTGATAATAACCCTTGAAATGGTTAATTGATACAGCTAATAAAACATCAGCATGCAAAGATATTTCTCTTTCCCTGTCCTATATAGGATATCACTTACTGACATCATTTCTATGCTAAAGGTATTAATACGAAAGTGGTGGAAAATGAGAAGGCCATAGAAGATGAGAAGGCCATGATGAAATCAGAGCAGGAGTTCTACTTAGATATTATTGGAATTATATTTCAAGATGAAATTTCCTATCGACTCCGATTTCCTTTCTACAGATCAGTTATACCACACAAAGATCTTGCTGATATAGGTAATTCAAGATGGCTGTGTGTTTCATTCTAGTTATTCATATGTCTATAGAAGTGTTTTTCATCCTTGGCAACTTTATACTGTGAGGACTTCAATTCCCAGAATTCTGCTCAGCATAACTGGCTGCGGAATTCTGGGAGTTGAACTCCACACATTTTAAAAGTTGCTCAAATTGAAAAATCCATGTAAATGTAGCATCATATGTTCTTATGCTATCATATATTTACATATAGTATGTGTATGTATATATATATATATATATGCACTTTCAACATGGTTTATAACATTTCATTTTTAGAATGACAGTATAATTTTCATTTACAGGGATATACATATACATATGTGCAGATTTTAAGTGACACTATTTTCATGCTTATTTATTGGAGATGAAACAATGCAATTTGTGTTACCAATTCAGGGTATCAACCCTCAGAATACCAGCATGGGACAGAACAAAATCCTGTTTTCTCCTAATTCCTTGTGTGTGGGAATGAGTGAGAAAGAAATCATGCTCTTATTTGTAGATGATTCTGGTATATTAGAAAAGCAATGAACAAGATCATTCCAAGCCAGCAAACTAAGGGTCCATTGTATCTGAAGAAATTTGATTGTGTGTGTGTGTTTTTTAAATAGTGTCTAAAGTGTATCCTGTTGGATAGCTGTTGGTATTGTTAAGTAGGTATCAGTTTGTTTGATCTGAGCTGATTTATTCTTGATATATGAAGCCCTAAACAAATCTAGGGGATTGGTTTGTTTGGAAGGGCTGCATGGTTTGGGAGCATATGGGGCATATGAAAAAGCTTGGAATGTGTCCATGTAGTCACCATGGATCTTGGGGGTGGAGGGGAAGAAACACTAAAGAAATAAAAAAAAGGAAAAAGAGAATGACTGCAGGAGAGAAACTATAAGTCCTGTTTGGTTAAGTTTTAGGGTTAAGATTAGGATTCATTATCCAACGGAAAGAAGAGGAAGTGGTGCAAAAAAGAGAAATAAATCAAGACAGTAGTTACTTGGAACGCAGTAAGGAGTTATGTTACAAAGTACTAGAGATATGTTTGCAGTTATGGTAACTGGGAGTTTGAAAGAGTATTTAGTGGAATGACACTGTGAAGGAACCTGTGAGTTAAAAAAAATACATACAAGAGACAGGCTTGCTAAATCAGTGGTGGAATCCAAATTTCTTTACTACCGGTTCTGTGGGCATGGCTTGGTGGGCATGGCAAGGGAAGGATGTGGTTAGAATGTAGTATTGTGGGCTAATTCTGCTCACTGCCAGGTGTTTGATCCTCACCAGGCTCAAGGTTGACTCAGCCTTCCACCCTTCTGAGGTCGGAAAAATGAGGACGCAGATTGTTGGGGGCAATGTGCTGACTCTGTAAACCACTTAAAAAGGGGCTGTAAAGCACTATGAAGCAGTATATAAGTCTAAGTGCTATTGCTATACTGTAAAATCTCAGAAGTGGTATTTGCCAGTTCTCCAAACTACTCAAAATATCTGCTACTGGTTCTCCAGAACTGGTCAGAACCTGCTGAATAGCACCTCTGACTTACTTACATTTATGGCCTCCTCTGCAGGAAAGCAGACAACAAATTTCCTGAAACACAAAGTGGTAATACTACAAAAATGAGGATGAGGGAAAGATACTGTGTAATCTGTAAAGAGAAGAAACAAACATTGCAAAGAATATAGAGACAGAAAACATGACATAGTTATGATTATAATAGGTAGCGACTCTATCAGCAAGATCTGAGATTGGGTGGCTTATAAAACTTGCACCAAATATGTGGCATTTTAATATTTTATGTTTCCTCAGTGTGGTGCATTGTTATTTCATCATCATCATCATCATCATCATGGTTTTATCTATTTTTGTATGTCACATTGAGTTGCTTTGTGGTTAGTTGGATTATTAATTGAAATAATGATGATAATAATAATGTGCAAATACTGATTAGAAGGCAGGGGCTAGCTTGTTGTCTGTGGCAAGGAATGAATCTTTGTCAAAGGAAGTAAAAATAGCTAAGAACACATTTCTGTCCGCCTTGTTAAATGAAAGTGGAGTTGTATATGTCAGGAAAAACATAAAAGTAAATTGAATGTGGTCATATGTAATATATTTACAGTGGACTATATTGCTTTTATTATACAGGATCATCCTGTTTTAGAAATTTATTCCTTAGATTAATTTGATTTAATTATTTATTTTCTTGGTTCGCTCTTGAATTTTCCTTTGTAAAGCCAAGTTATACATAGAAATATTAATTTTCTTTATATTTATGGACCTCTTTCAGATTTGCTTTTTCAGGATTGTCCTTTATTTTTTCCAAGAAAATATGGTCATGTAATATATCTGACCCAGTTCAATAATGACAGCACTTAATTTAGAGTCTTCAAATCAAGAAATAATTTGAATGGAAATAAGAATTAGAAGCAGCTCCCATTTTCTTCTTGACTTTAGATAGGAGGATGTATTACACTGAGTATTGTTTAAGATGTCAGCGAGTTATATTGCCCTATTCTTGTGTAAGATAACTTTGGTCAGCTCCAGTACTTCAAGTGCCTGAGAAGTCAGTGAAGTTGGTAAAAAGCGAAGTAAATTTCTTCCGTCTCTTTGCTCTTAGAAGAAAGGGAAACTCGATGCTTCTCAAACCTTTCTGATGGGCTGTTTTCTTCAAGGCCTCTGTGCAGTGAATCATTTTTCCTGGAGATTGTCCAATCCAATAAAATCCCAACTTTTTCCCAATTAATAGAAACTGTTAAGTTATAAGATTGTACATATAATATTATAAAAGTCTGTTTCTCCCCTTTTATGTAGATTCGTGTTTCAACTTTCACTCAATTGATTGTAAAAATCCGAAGTATTGGACTCAAGGCTTTATCTCACTGCAATCTAGCATTGACAGCGCACTTATTGAAGTAAGTGGATAAGCCTTACTTTTACCTGCAGCAGTGGCAGTGGCATTTTCTCAGTTTGGTTTGAATGACTTCTCTGTTCCTTTAATTTTTGTTTGCAGTTTTATATATTTTAATAAATCTGGCTGCTTTTTATCCTACACACTACACTGCCTCTGGATCTCCCTGGGCTGTAGAACAGAGGTCATTCTAATCATTCTGATCTAATCATGCTTTCCTTTTTCTAAGTATGTCCTTTTCTTGATTTCAGTATTAGATCATTGTTAGCTTCCTGTATCAGATCAACAATTTTTTATACACACACACACAAACACACACACACACAAACACACTTTTAAGTAATTCAATTGTTTTTTTTCCCTTTATAATGTAATTGTCCAGGTGGCATGCTAAATCACCTATAGAATAAGTAATTTCAAAAATGTTTTTGTCTTTTCTTTTAGAGGATCACCAATCACTCTGTTTGGGAAGAAATGACTTCTATTAATGGCATCCGTATGAAATCACCTTCTCTTAAAATAGGATCTGAATTAGCAAATAGTGTGTTCCTTTGGACTTTATCACTGTGTTTTGCTCCATTTATGTATTTCTTGGCACTAACAGTTTCAAGAGAGAAAAGGAAATTAAAAGAGGTGATGAAGACAATGGGACTACGAGATGCAGCATTCTGGTGAGCTATGAAATTGGCTGTAGTCTCCTTTTCTCAGATGGATCCAGCAGGTTTTTATGAGAAAAAAAGAGGATGAATCCATGCCAGCCGGAAAACTCAACAGAGAATTTAACGAAGCTCTGATCCTGGAGCTGGTACAGGAAATAGTAGCTCCATGTTAGGTTCTATTTTCTTTGGACCTCTACACACTTATGTGACTGATGGCGTCACCACTCAGGTCCTTGTTTCTTCTTTATATAAATGGCTGTTTTGGCCAGCCATTATGCAACTTAGTTAAATACAGTATAACTAAATATTCACATTTGCAATTTTACAAAATACTTTGGTAAATTACCCAACTTTGAAAGGCACCACAATCACACATACAACATACTGTGTTTGTTTCTGGTTTTTATCCTAAACAGTATTATTTATTTACTGAAATAGCTGTATTCTACCCATTTTAAACCTCAAGGTTGCTTACTTTTCCACAAAAGAAAAAGTTTCAACTCTTTACACATAAAGGCATTATAAATAATAAAATCTATGTATAAGTCAAATCTACCACTGTTAGCAGTCATATATTTAAGGGGAAAAATAGTAGAGCCTTCTTGAAGATCAATAAGTTGAGGGTACCATTACCTCAAGCAAGATATTCCCCAAATGGGGCACCCTCAGGGAAAGATCATTGTTAGGACCTTTACCTTACATAGGGTAAGGATCTCCAATATTGGTCAGAAGAGAAGGTATTGCAGGCATTAGAGAGGGTAACTTCAACTTACAAATTTATTATGAATTGGATCCTCTCATAGTTGTGGCTCATTGGATATAATGAAGTTTACAGTTGGCTCACCTCCTCTTCTGGGTGAGCATTTCTGTTTAAAATTCTCTCTTGACTCACCTTTTCTGTATTTTATGCAACTAACTCTACCCAAGAGTTTGCTAACATTCCCTGCTGCTTCTAATTCTGCTTCTACCTCTTTTAATTGCTCAAAGATAGCTCTGCATCCACTAAGTAGACTCTCAAGTGGAACAGATGCTTTAAAAAAAATCCTCTTGAGCATTTCTCTATACCGTTGCACATTTCTTTATGTGCTTCTAAAAACTCAAACAATGCTACCGTGGGCAGATGCACCTTAAAGCATTTTTTTCCCATGGACTACTACCCTCCAGTTTAAATATCCAATATCCCCAACTTGGAGCAAATGTCTTTGGGGTGTATTTAAAAACCTCTGCAGGTATTTTTTTAGGGATGGGGTTGGAAGAGGCATAATGTCACTAGGGTCTACTCCAAAACTGGATCCTCTGTTCATTTTAGAAAACTGCTTCTAAATTTATCATTTATCACTTGGACCAATTTTGGCAAGACCAGAAGTCAAACTCAATAGCATTTTAGATTGATTTTACTACACAGCTCTGCTTTCTTAAATGAAAATTAGCTATGGAGAAAAATGGAAAGGGTATAAAAATAAAAAGACATTTGAGCTAAAAGGACTTCAACATAGAAGTCATTCCATAGAGATCAGGAGCCTTACAACAACTTCCTTAATCAGCCCTCCTCTGTCTAAGCAAAAAAGATGCCAAAAAACTGATAGCCATGGAACTGTTTTCTAGCTTCCTTTAGTTGACAGAAGAAGTTTTCAACAAGAGCCAGTAAGTCCTCACTTTGAATAGCAAAAGAAACAGACGCACAAAGCATATCCTTATGTGGATATTCTTTGATTACATCTACCATTGTTTCACCAAAGACTCAGCAATCTGGGAAGAGTTGAGGGAGACATCTGCTTTATCTTTATTTTAAAGAGTCATCCTTGGCTCCTTGGTGTTGGACAGCCAACACATTTAAAGAAAATAATAATAATTTTATTTTTCTGTCATTCCTCGAATTGGTGTAGACAAGGGGTCATGAGAAGGGTATCAAAGGCCTTCACTCTTCTTCATATTTGGCTCCTGTTCTTAACAAGACATGATTGCCAAATGACATTTAATGATAAGAGCCTCGGATTCACTGAACAAGAGAAGCCTTTCCTGCAATCAATGTTTTTCTCCTGGTTTGGACCATAATATTGAGCTAAACTGGAGAAATTATTTAGGGAAGGGGGAGAAAACTCAGATAAATGTTAACAAGAAGGTTAACAATGTCTTTTTCTTCATAGGCTCTCCTGGGGTTTGTTGTACACCATATACATCTCAATTCCAAGCGTGGTGCTGACATTTTGTCTGAAAGCTACATATTTTTACCTAAGCAGCAATTCTATCTTATTTGTCCTGCTTTTCCTTTATGGCATTTCATCTGTAAGTCTTCAGCTTTCCTTTTCTCAGTTAAAGTGATATGTTTGATGCAATAAATATTTCTGTTCTGCTGGAGGACAGTTTCTGGACCAGGTTAAGAAGAAACTTTTTAAATATTAAATTAAAACACTTATTTCTCAAGTGTTCTCTCTTTTTAATAAAGTACCCAAACATGGGACTAGTTTGAGAGATCCTGGAGATACCAGTTCAATGAAAGCACACCTGGACAGATTATTTCCTTTAGTAGAAACTTTTTTTTATTTGGTTAGAGGAAAGATAGGAAAAGGTATACTTATTTTGTATTCATTGACCTCTCTATTTTGTATTCATTGATAAGTTGACTGCATCTTTCCAGAGAATATTGAAAATATGGCTACATCATTCATTTCTTGATAAATTTGAGATTAAATAACTATTAAATGTTTATATTGTTTATTCAGAATTTTCAGCCCATCCCAAATGTTGCAGTCTGCTAACTGGCTTAGGCTGGTTAAAGAGAACCTGTTACTTCCTTAGTTTTGAAAAGGATATACTGAGTATCACTTGACTGAATATTAGTTTGCTGTTGCCCTTACCATTATAATTACCACAAATGGAGTATGTAGGTTGTTAGGGATATGCACCCTAGCAGAATCCGCACGGCAGTCAGGCAGGCAGATATGTGAGATAAACGTTGTTGTAGCTTACACTCAGTAAAACAGATACACTGTGCCAGTTAAATAGTTTTTATTCCAGTAAGAGTTATAGCATAGTCAAACAGTCCATATATCATACACTTAGTTCAGTCCGTCCGGGGATTATCCATTAGCAAAGTCCAGTGTCAAAAAAGAGGTCAGTAAACTTACAAATAATCAGTCCAGTAATATCTCTTTTTGCAGTAGAGATATGAAGAAAATCAAACCTCTTTTCTTCATTCAGCAATAGTAGGGAAAACACGCAGTTATCACCATCAATCCATCATTGTCAGCAATCCAATAAAAGCCAGCAAACAGTGAGCTCTCTTGCTCCCTCTTATGGTGATTTTACAACCGCACCCAAAATACATGTTTTACAGTTAAAGTGATACACACACTTAAACTCACTAACATAGTTTATATATATTATTTTACCCAAACTAAGTTAGGTAACCATGTTATTCCTAACATAGGTCTTTGATGCTCTCTGAAGACTGTCTTGCAAGTTTTATTGAAGTAGTTTCTTGAGGAAGATCCCCACATGGGATAAGAAGATTGGAGTTTTCTCCAGCTTGTGATAGTTGGGGCAAGGTTGGGGAAATGGAAACCTTCTAAAATAAATATATGTGGGGGAACATTCTTATGCAGTTGTTATCTAGTAGAAGTTTCCAAAGAGAATGAAGTCCGATAGCTATGGTTCTAGGTTAAAAAGTTCAACTACCAGTATTGAGTGACAGAGCAATGAAGCTGAATAGATACATTCAAAATTAAAGAGCATGGTGGCATTAGGAGCCTGTGGAAAGAGTAGGAAGCAAAAATAGGTGCCAGGTTCCATTTGTGGGCATGTTGTCTGAATGCCCCAGCACTTAGAGCCAGATGGACTGAATTCCCCCTACTGCTGATTTTTTTAACTCTCTTTATCTTGAGCATTTACAGTTTGATTGGGCTCTCTCTCCTCTTCTTTAGAGATATAATAACCTTTTGGGAAACATGGCTATGGGAAAGCATTATGCACTGTCTTCCTATTAATTCAGTTCAGTTTGAATCCTGGCCTGCAAGTATCTATTGCAACAATTTACCTTTTTAGTGCAGGGTGCAACAGTTACATATAAGTACAGAATAATAATACACTAATTCTATTGTATTTTGCACATTTGTAGAGACTGTACTAACTGGCAATTTTTTCTTTTGCAGATATGTCTCTGTTTCATGTTGAGCTCTCTCCTAAAGAAACCCAGAACCACTAGCTTTGTTATTTTCATTTTCACTTTTTGTTTGGGAGCCCTCAACATTATTACAACAATCAGGTTGATACCTCCAAGTTTGGAGTTGATTTTGAGCATCTTCTGCCCATTTGCTTTTGGTGCTGGGCTTTCAAAGGTAGAGTAATGCACAGTATTTTACTTAAAATTCCTAATCATGATGCAACTAACAGGAAACACATCTGACACTCACTCTGGTGGCATAGATATTTCTCTTCCAAAGATATTTTGATAGAAACACATAGCAAACTGACTTCCGGTTTGCAACCTTTCGGCGGCGGCAGGGATTCACGACCGCACGATCCCTGCTGCGTTCACCGTCAAGGTTCCCCCGATCCATTTGGATCTGGGGGATATAGCTGCCCCGTAGAGGCAGCTGAAGACAGGGGGGATCCGGCAAGGGGTTTGGGGGTGTCACAAACCCCCTCCCCAGCCGGCTAAACCCCCTTTTCCCGAGGCGGAGGAACGGCGGTCAGCAATGGCCGCCACGAAGAAAGTTGCAGCCGGACAAGCAGGTGCAGGAGGGAGGAAGCTGAAAGAAAAGTGAAAGTTGATTCTAACCGGGACAAGACGGGAGAAAATGACCTGGAATCTTGAAGGCTGCTAAGTATATATTGTTCCCTGTGAGAGTTTTTAAGCTGCGAATATTCTAAAGGGGAAAGTTTTTTCTTTGTTCTACTCTCCTTCCTAAAGTGACAGCGGAAAAAAAACAAAACTTTTTGGCTGTGAGTGGGAAGGGAGAGTGAAAAAAAGAATTAGAGCAAAATTTGAAAATAAGGAGAAGATTGCCTAGAATTACAAAGAGTTTAAAAACTTCCAAAAAATATATTTGAAAAGGATTTGTGATTACTTTAACCCCAGAAGGAGAAAGTGAAGAAGAAGAAGATATCTAAAAGAAATAGTCTGTTTGGATTGTTTGGTGACTTTGGAACCTTTGGAAATTACTTCTGATTAAATCATCTGGGTGGTTGTTTGGAAAAACTTTTTCTCTACACAATGGCATCATCTATGGATGAATTGGAACTTATATATCAAAAATTTGAAAGAGAAAAACAAGGAGGGGAAGATGGTCTTGACATATTTTTCAATACTTGGAAATGGCGGTTTATATTTATGTGAAGCAGAATGAGGATGATGGGGATGAAGAAGGAGAAGCCATCTTTGATGAACAAATTTATTTATTTATTTATTTATTTATTTATTTGATTTGCCAATTGTTTACAAGATAATAAGTATAAGTGTATACATAGTTGTGAATACATGAAATGGGTACATATAAAAAAAATAAAAGAATAAGAGAAACAATAGGACAGGGATGGTAGGCACGTTGGTGCGCTTATGCACGCCCCCTACAGACCTCTTAGGAAAGGGGTGAGGTCAATAGTAGACAGTCTAAGGTTAAAGTTTTTGGGGTTTGGGGAAGAAACTACAGAGTCGGGTAGAGTATTCCAGACATTGACCACTCTATTGCTGAAGTCGTATTTCCTGCAATCAAGTTTGGTGCGGTTTACTTTGAGTTTGTATCTATTGTGTGCTCTTGTGTTGTTATGGTTGAAGCTGAAGTATTCATTGACAGGTAGGACATTGCAATGTATGATTTTATTACTTTATTTTATTACTTACTTCTCCAGTCAAATTACTTTGACTGGAGAAGAGAAAAAGCAAGAGAAAAAGGTCTTTAAGATCTGGAAAAACAGCCCAAAAAGAGAAGAATAAGATGAAAAGGGGACATTATGTTAAGAAACAACAGAAAGGGGGAAAGCAGAATAAAAGGGAGGTGGAGAGACAAGGGGTTAAAGAGGACAAGGAGAAGAAGAAACAAGAAAGAAAGGAAGGGATGAGAAGTCCTAATGGTGGGGAGCAAGATGTTAAGAAGCAAATTTTTTTTAGAGATAATGGATAAGCTTTATGGTTAAAGGGATTCTAGAAAGGTACATAAGACTGCATTTTTATACTTGTATTTAGAAGTAAACATAGAAAATTAGAAACAATATGTAACCTAAAATGTGATAAAATATTTAACATAAATTAGTGAAATTTTTGGTTAAGATAAGGGAGTACTGTAATGAAACATGATTTAAGATTGTGATGTGGGGGGGGGGTAATAATCTTTGAAAAGCATAAGTGTTCCCACAAAGGCATGATATTTAATTGAAATGGATAAAATGTTTAAGATATAAATGATTGTTAATATCAATGATTAGAATATGGTATACTAGCGAAATTTCTTGTGAAATGAGAATTGAAGTAGAAGAAGGAGGTACTTTTTAATGAAATAATGAGCTATAATATATGATGAGGGATATAATATATAACTATGGAAAATAGGGCTCCCATAAAAGTATGTGATTTAATTGAAAAGTAATGATTTAAATGTTTAAGATATGAATGAATATTAATACTAATGAATAGATTTGTATTATTTTTGATAATATAGTATAATTTTAGAATGTACCAGACAGAATCCCAATATATGTCATGTGTTTTATATTAAGTATTATAAATGTAGGTGAAAGAGATAAAGGCATCATACTCCATATAGTGTACAGGAGAAGTTTTTTCTTTTTTTTAAAGAAGGAAAATAAAGGGCTGGCTGGAATAGAACAGACAAAGAATAATAAATATTATGATATGAATTGAGAGGAGATAAATAAAATAAAATAAAATTGAGAAAATTTAAAGGAGAGGAGAAGACATATAGAAAACTGAAAATGTTAATAAGATATGAAATGGTATGTAAAATGAATATGAATTTGAATTTGTGTCTGTACCAAGAGTTTTAACCCGGGACTAATCAGCTTTCAGATAAGAGATTTTTTATGCTTTTATGTTTTGTTTTATGTGTATCTATGTATTGTTTGTCTTGAAAATAAAACTTGTTTTTTTTTTAAAAAAAGAAACACATAGCAAACTGAACATGGACCCAAAATGTCATTCTATTCTAATCCCTCCTTCATCCTGCTGACACCCATGCTTCCATTCCAAGAGTGTTAGACAATAGTTTAACTTACTAAACAGTTAGTTTCATTTCAATTCTTTGTTCTTTCCTATGAGAATTTGATTTTTTTAAAAAAAAAAAAACAACCCTTTGTTCTTTTCATGCAGGTTCTCTATTTTCAAAAATATGGAAGGACCTTTGATTTTACTGACTTAATGTTGGAACCATATGGTTATTGCTTGCTTATTGACAGCATCTTATACATGCTGCTGGCTTTCTATTTTGACAAGGTTGTGCCTGGTAAGAATATTACTGTGAATATATTATAGTTTCAAGACCACATTTCTTCAAGTTGCTTTTCACTATCTCAGAAGCATCATTTCTGAATTAGGAATAAACTGTAACTGGCCTGAAAAATGGAGGAAAATAACAAAGTTGAGACAGCAAGTATTATATCTTTCTTTAGATTACTGGTAAGTTGACTGAAATTAATCTGAAGCCCCTAAATACAACAGTCTTGTTCACATATTGTGCAACCATGTATGAGTTGTAGAGTGTTTTAAAGAAACCAATGTTATGCAAAGAAGAGAAATGGTGTAGAGTAAGCAAATGAAATTAAAGGTAGATAACAAGAGAGAAGGAAAACTTCCCTTTTGTTTTCTAAACCTCAGTCATTTTGTGGAGCTCATCGATTCCATTGGCTTCTCATTTTTGTGTTGCAATTCCATTCCCATTTATTTTCCCTACAACAATTCCAATGCATTGCTTTCATACAAATCAGTACTTCGCATTCAATTCGCAAAATTCAGCACCCATTCTTTCTGGGTCTTATTTAGTCTCTTGTTTCACCATTCACAGTTCTTAAGTAACACATTTGCACTGCGTTTGTTTCTCCTGACATATCCAGCTCCCACTTATATCTACAGAATTGGTAGAAACCCGCTTTTATACTTAGCAATTTCTGCTTCTCTTGACAAGCATCTTCACAACAGAATTATTCCACCAAATACTTTTCTACCAGCATTTGCACCTCTTAAAATATTTCTATTCGTGTTCCTATTTTTAGGAAATTTACTACCAAGATACACAAATGCACAAGTTATATGGAAGTGAAATTTGAACTTTTAAGAAGCAGGTTAGGAAGAATACTAATGTTTTTGAACTTTGGTGTTAAGAGAAGGGACCTGAAAAGTACCATGAACAGGCAATGAAACAAACAAACAAACAAACAGATGAATCAACAAACAAATCAATTCAGAATACTCACTTGAGGCCTAAAGGTCAGGCTCATATTGTCCTACTTTAGACATATTCCACCAAGACCTAAGTTTGTGGAAATGATTCTATTTCTGGAAAAGGTCAAAGAAAAGAAAAAAGAGAACAACCAACAGAAAAGTGGATAGACTCAGTTAAAATAGTGATGATTGTACTATTGACTCACAAGGACTCTCAGACTACAAAATCTAGGTTACCAGCCTTAGTTATACCAGTGCTACATGCAAATTTGTCTGCTAATGATATAGGTAGCAAGATTAGCAAGAATTCTCAAATGAATTATACTGTATATTCCTGCCTGTTGCTTTGGTCTATTTTCCTCTTTTTTTTATAGTTTCAATGTAGGTTATGATTTATTAGGTAGGTAGCTGAACTGACTGCATCAATTCAGTTTATTGTCAGGTTCACAGTTAAGAAAATACTACAAAAGAACAATAAAGACCAGCACTGTACTCTACTCTATGTGCAATGTGAACATTAAGAAGTTACAGTTAGTTTGGATTTATGACAACTTGCTGTTTGTAAAATACTTTTTAGACAAATATGGGGTGCCTTATCCTCCACTGTTTTTTCTGAAGAAGACCTTTTGGTGTAAACCAAAAAGCCCCTATACTGGGAATGTTCCTACAAGTGAATGGAGTCATGGGAGTATCTTCAGTGATAATACTGAGCCTGTGCCCCCTGAATTCGATGGGAAGGAAGCCATAAGGTAAGACACATTGAATCTGGACATTCAATAGTATGAGCATACTGTAAATTTCTTTTACTTATAGGTTGCCAGAGGACTTTGTGGGAGATTCATTCATAAGGAGAATATGCTGTAAGAAATATATTTCTGCTGCAACAGGTAGTCTTTGGCTTATGACCATCTGTTCAGCAGCCATTCAATGTTGTGACAATAGTGAATGAGGTGGACTTATGACTGGTCCTTGCAATTGCACCTGTTATAACATCTCTGAAGTTACATGATCACAATTTCTCCACTTGGCCACCATTATAATGGTTGCAGCATCTTTAGGTCACGTGATTGCCATTTCAATCCTCCACAATGGCTTCTTACAAGCAAAGTAAATGGGAAGTCTGTAGGAGGTTACAAGTCGCTTGCATTCCCACTGCTTTTCCCCCTCATCTGCGTCTGCTCTGCAGTACCAACCCTCAGTTTCTGCCTGGTCTGCTTACTTGAAATTCCCTCTTCCACATCATGTTATGTGAAGTCCTCACTTAATGACCTCTATGGTCCTGGTATTAAGCTTTACAACCACATCATTTAGCAATGTGCTATCCTAGGTTGAAGACTATCTGTATTGTCTTTTATTATTTTTTATATTATATTTTATATTTATTTAATTAGGTCTATTGAACATATACCAGAGGAAAATGTATGTCATGTCTAATATTTACTATAACATATTGAATGCTAAATTAATATTCTCTATTTCAACATGATATTTTGAGTGATTCTGAAATTTGTAAGAAAAATTCCACAATATACTGACAAATAACTATTTTACTGTTTTTTAGATTAAATAATATTAAAAAAATTTATAAAATGAAAAGCACAGAAGAAGAAGCTTTGAAAGGTAAGATACCTGAACTTTAGAATATATATTATAGCTTTGAATCTATGAAATAGGACAGAAATAGCACAAAACATTTGGGAAGCAGAGCATCTATAACATACGTAAATACCATCATTGAAGCTTGAAAGTTAGATCATTTTTTAAATAAAATGGGCACAACTTAAGATTACCTATTTATATTAAATTTTTGGGTTCTTCACGTAAAATCTCATTAGATGTTTGGCCAGAAAACAGTAAATGTATAAAACATTATAATTCTTGTCTGACCTCACATGATATCTCAGGGATCAAAATGTCAGCAATTCATGAGATACAGTAAACTGACATGATTTTATTAATATATGGGATTTTGGGGACAAAGAAGGTATTCCAAACTATTGTGGCTCATGTGAAAAGATAGCACCTAACACAGACATTTCTGCTCTCCTTCTTGTAGAGAAAGCTTCCTGAGATGCTTTAAATTTAACAATTACATTTAAGTAACTTTCAAAGCTCATCTTTCTGACCAATCTCCAGGGCTTTTACACCTTCATCTCTACATTCTCCATCAGCCTTCTGGGCATTGGTTGAAAAGGGAAAGGCAAATTGTTGTTTAATTTCCTCCCACATCTTGATAGGAAGTCCTGGGGAAAACTAGTTGCATGAGTGCCAGCAAAAAGAAAAAAAATAACTGGCACTAGAATCAATAACAATTATTAAATTCAGGATAAAAAATGTGAAGAACTCAGTGCTAGTTGCCTCAATGTATCATTTATCATATACAGCAAACATGACCTCTTTATACATTAGGATTGTCCCTGGATATTTATGAAGGTCAGATCACTGCAATACTTGGTCATAACACATCTGGAAAAACTACATTGCTAAACATCCTCAGTGGACTTTCCAAACCATCTGATGGTAAGAATGAAAATTTTGAAATGAATTCAAATGCCAGCCAAATCTCAAAGTACGTTTAGAAAAGTGCAGCCCTGTTGGATCTGATCTTGGTCCAGACTAGTCCCATTTCCTGTTTTCCGTAATAATCAACTAGGTATTTTGGGAAAAACCACAATAGCCGTTTTCTGCTGTTGTTGTCTAGTGAAGTATCATCTATAAATGGTTATGACTATAAAAGTTTTATTTTCCATGAAGCTGTAAAAGTCAATTTTCAATTTTTCTAAATTCAAAGTTTTTTTAACATAAGATTGTGATTTTGTTATGATTTCCTAGATTTGTGAAACTTCATATATCAGGCAGTAATTATTTTAATCAGTTTATAAGTTGAACAACACAGATTAAATGTTATAGTCTTAGTTAAATGCAGATAGTCCTTGACTTACAACAGTTCATTTAGTGACCGTTCAAAGTTACAACAGCACCGAAAAAGTGGCACATGACCAGCATCCCCGTGGTCATGTGATTTACATTCAGATGCTTGACAACCGGTTCATATTTATGATGGTTGGAGTGTTCATGTGCTCACCTTTCATGACCTTTCGACAAGCAAAGTCAATGGGGAAGCCAGATTCCCTTCAAACCGTGTTATAATTTAACAACTGCAGTGATTCACTTAACAACTGTGGCAAGAAAAGTTGTAAAATGGGGCAAAACTCTCTGAAAAATTTCTCACTTAGCAACATAAATTTTGGGTTCAGTTGTGATTGTAACTCAAAGACTACCTGTATTATTTTAGTACTGACATGACATTTTATATTGTTATTCCATTATGCAGATTTATATTGATGTCTTTGAAAAATGTTTAGCAATTTTCTTCCCAGTAGTCTTTAAAGGAGAGCTAGTTTGATGTACTGGTTAAGGCACGATAGGAATCGGAAGACTGGGACTTGTAGTCCTACCACACAAAGCCAGGTCAGTAACCAGTGGCCAGCCACTCCCTCTCAGCTCTAGGAAGGAGGTAAGGGCAAATCACTTCTGACACATTATCAGGAAAACTGTAAAGACCAGTCAAGGGAGTCACCAGGAGTTAATCCTGAGTTGAAGCTCCCACTGTTTTAAATGCCGCTCCAAGCGTAGCATCCTAATGTTAGGTGAATAGATGAATAATGGAAACTGGAGTATACTGCATCAAGAATGGCTTCATCTGGTGGAGCAGGGAAGCTGGAGAAAGCTTTTCCTCTCCATGTTATCCTGGAGAGCTCCCAGACTGCAGTACAGACCAGCACCTGTTGGGGCAGGGTAGGGGGTAACAATCCCCTTTAATGCTAAGGGTAAAACTAGCCTTAGGAAGACAGTCATTAATAGCATATATTATAATAAATTGGATAAACAACAGAAAAGCCCATTTGAAAAACAGTCTTTCAATTCAACCTGTTCTAAAGTAATAGCAGCCTGTTTAATTGGAAAATTCTCTATGTAATCATTTTATTATTGCTTACAGGTTTTGCATCCATATTCAAGTACAATGTATGTGAAAAGGAACATATGGAAAAGATTTGGGAAATAAGTGCTATCTGTCCACAATGGAATATTCAATTTGAATTTTTAACAGTGAGAGAAAACTTAAAAACATTTGCTAAAATAAAAGGGATACCATCCAATGCTGTAGAAAAAGAGGTAATAATGGATTCAGTCATATTATCTTGTCCTGCACAGATTTGTGTTGCACAGGTGTTATGTTCTACATTTCCCCCCTTTCACTTCTTCCATTGTAGGACACCGTTCCTTTAGATTTGATAACATTATTCTCCTCTGATTGTATTTAGCCAGTCCATTCTAGAAAACTTCACTTATGCTTTGGAATCAGTAGGACAAATGTGTAGATAATCAACTTAATGTCAAATGCCAGGGAAGTCAGAAGATTCAGGCAGTTCAAATGAATATAAAGATTTATTGCAAACTTAAACTCTCTACAAGAATCTGACCAACTAACGGTCAAGGGAAATGATGAAAATAAGATTAATAAGCTAAAGCTTATTTTTAAACCTTGGGAAAGAAGCCAAGAAAACCCTGAAGTACAAACATTTGGTGAATATAATTTGGCTTCTTCAGGAAAAGAGTGTGCAAACTATGGCCATATAAATTTCAGGTATCTGGTCTGCCTAAATGAAGGATTCAACTTTCAGTGCTTGGTATTGATTTACAATAAAATATTACTTACCTGTTGGAAGGTCAATACAACTAAATACATTCAAGCTAAATAGTCAACAAAATTTTAAAATGTTTCAAAGATGAGCAGCAACATAAATAAGATCCAAACATACATTACAAACTAAGTATATAAAATATATGGACTACCTGTCCATTTCTTTCATTCAGTTAAGAGACTGAATTTCTAGGTAAGAAGTGCAAAATAATTGAAATATATGTATTTTATAGGTTGAAAAATTGTTGACACTCTTGGACATCAAGGCCATTCAAAACACCCAAGCTAATCATTTAAGTGGTGGACAAAAACGAAAATTATCTCTTGGTATTACACTTTTAGGAGAACCACAGGTAAACCCACTATTAGGTAAAAAGCCCCATTGTACTTATACCATTAAGTATGCTTTTTTATGAATGCATTGCTTTAATCCTTATCAATGACTTGCATAGTAATCATGGAAATCCCTAAATAATCAGAATCTCTAATTTTGATATGGTTTCCCTTTCTTTCACCTTTATTGTCTCACCCCTTTCTTAACATTTTCTTGATTTTTGCAAGTTAAATGAAATTTGCAATAATTTTAATAGAATTTTCTATTATAAAAATAAAATCTTCTAAATGTTATTTCAAAATCCATACAACTTTGCAATATTCTTATGTCTTCATAATGGGAAATTGCACATCAACAATGAATGCTATGTGTTGTTTTAATCATATGTTGAATTAAGATATGTAATCAAATGCCTACTGTAGGTATTATTACTAGATGAGCCAACTTCTGGATTGGATCCATATTCTAGACACCAAGTGTGGTCTCTCCTGAATGAACGCAAAGCAGGTCGAGTCATTTTATTCACCACCCAGTTCATGGATGAAGCTGATATCCTTTCTGGTGAGCAGACCTCATGCTGAAGTAGATTAGAATGTAGGAACAAAGAGAAACTATAGAAATAGTACTTACTGTAATGTTATTTCTTCAAATACCATTATTTCTCCTTCTGTTCTTATCAGTCAGAAAGGCCTTTTATTGAATTGCACTAAGTCAGCTGATCCATGTAACTTCTTAAATCCAGTCACATATATCACTATGTATCAGTCTACTTCTCCTGTCAATTTCAGGATTTTCATGTATTGCAGCTGTTCGTCTCTCCCCTACTCAGCCCGTTGAACCTCTTACTCACCTTTTACTTTCAGTGACTTTTTAGATCCG